TCGAGCAGTATTTGTTGAATAAATGAATGAATGGATTCATTTTTATCCTCATCACACCTGCTCTTCCTCTTATATTCTCTACCATCATCTACCTAGTTTCTCAAGTCAGAATGGAAAGTTCACTCCACTCCTTCTTCACTCACCATATCTAATTACCAGGCTCTCATGATTCTGCATCCTAAACCTTGCACAAATCTAATCATTTTTGCCCTCCTCACTGCCTCTACCTTGGTTTTCTCAACAGTCCCTTACCTGTTCTCTGTCACTCTAGTTTTGCCCCCTCAAATCTATTCTTTGTGGTACAAAACAATAAATGTTGGAGAGGTTGAGGAGAGACTGGAACACTTATACACTGTTGATGGGAATGTAAAATGGTACAACCACTTTGGAAATCGATTTGGTGCTTCCTTAAAAAGCTAGAAATAGAAGTACCATACGATCCAGCAATCCTTCTCCTTGGAATATACCCTACAGAAATAAGAGCTGTCACACGAATAGATATATGCACACACATGTTCACTGCAGCACTGTTCACGATAGCAAAAAGATGGCAACAATCTAGGTGCCCAACAACGGACGAATGGATAAAAAAATTATGGTATATTCATGCAACAATAAAGAACAATGATGAATCCATGAAACATAACATGGAGGAATCTGGAAGGCATTATGCTGAGTGAATTTAGTCAGTCACAGAAGGAAAAATACTGTATAAGACCACTATTATAAGAACTCAAGAAAAGGTTTAAACACAGAAGAAAACATTCTTTGATGGTTACAAGGGTGAGGAGGAGGGAGACGGTTATTCACTAACTAGATAGTAGACAAGAATTATCTTAGGTGAAGGGAAGGACAGCACACACTTTAGGGGAAGTCAATGTAACCGGACTAAACCAAAGCTAAGAAGTTTCCTGAATACAACCAAACACTTCAAGGGACAGAGTAGCAGGGGGTGGAGGTCTGGGGACCATGCATTCAGGGGACATCTAGGTCAACTGGCATAACAAAATTTATTAAGAAAATGTTCTGTATCCTACTTTGGTGAGTGGCATCTGGGGTCTTAAAAGCTAGCGAGTGGCCATCTAAGATGCATCAATTGGTCCCCACTCACCTGGAGTAGAGAATGAAGAACACCAAACACAAGGAAAGTATTAGCCCAAGAGACAGAAAGGGCCACATAAACCAGAGACTGCATCATCCTGAGACCAGAAGAACTACATGGTGCCCGGCTACAACCAATGACCACCCTGACAGGGAACACAACAAAGAGTCCCTGATGGAGCAGGAGAAAAGTAGGGTGCAGAACTCAAGTTCTACTAAAAAGACCAGACTTAATGGTCTGACTGAGACTGGAAGAACCCCAGAAAACATGGCCCCTGGAGTCTCTGTCAACCCAGAACTAAAACAATTCCCAAGGCCAACTCTTCAGACAAACACTGGACCGGACTATGGGACATAAAATGATACTCATGAAGAGTGTGCTTCTTAGCTCATGTAGATACATGAGACTAAATGGGCAGCTTCTGTCCGGAGGTGAGATGAGAAGGCAGAGAGGGTCAGCAGCTGGTTGAATGGACATGGCAAATCAGGCGTGGAAAGGAGGAGTGTGCTGTCACAGTATAGGGAGAGCAATTAGGGTCACATAAGAATGTATGCATAAATTTTTGTATGAGAGACTAACTTGAATTGTAAACTTTCACAAGTAAAATAAAAATAAAAAATAAAAAAACTATTCTTTGTGGTACAGCTAGAGCAAAGTTTCTCAGCCTCAGCACTATGTACATTTGGGCTGGATAATTCTTTTTTGGGATAGTCTGTCCTATGCATTGTGGTATGCTTAGCAGCATCCCTGGCCTCTACCCAGTAGATGCCATTAGTACTCCCTCTCTAGTAGTGAAAAAATAAAATGTCTTCAGATATTGCCAAATGTCCCTTGGGAGGAAAACTGCCCATAGTTGAGAATCACTGAACTAATCTTTTTAAAATGGAAATCTGATCATGTCACTGGTCTGTTTAGAAACCATCAATAGAAAAAATATATACCTATGCACAAGCGCACAAGCGCACACACACACACACACACACACCACACACACAAATACACCAAAATGTTAGGACTTGTCTACGTCAGGGGATTATGGGTGATTTTTTTTCTGTTATGTATATATAATAAGGAAAATAATGTTATTAACCCGAAGAGTGACTAATGGCTTCCCACTGCCTACAGTTCCTTAGCATTAATTACATATAAGGTGCCCATGTTCTGAACTCTGCCAACCTCTCTCACCCCATCTCTTACCAAAGTTGCTTATGTAACTGAGGTTGCAGCTGAACTGTCTAAACTGTGTACGCCCTATGGATCAGGCGCATTTGGGCATGTCTGAAGAGCAGCTAGGTGGATCCAGTGAGGCTCCTTGCATTGCATGGGAAGAAAATATTCCTGAAGAGACAGGGGTGGGCATGCCTACCCTCACTCCAAGATAGCAGTTGTCATTCTCTAATCCCAAATGCACACAGAGTACTCACTAGATGGCAAACACCGTGCTAATCATCAAGAAGAGGGGCAATTTTAAATTTAACACTGTGCATGTTACTCATACAGCCTTCTGAACTAGTTCCGCTGGACTTTCACTCTGCCCTAGACCTTGGGCTGCTTTTTGCTTATAGAGGTTGGTTCTTTTTCTCAGATTTGTAAAAGATCCTCTAAATTGCTTTGCTGACACTTGTTCTCCAGAGCGCCATGTGTGACAAAGTCAAGCCTTTGACTGCTTCAGCAAGTAGAAACCTGACTGCAGCTTTGCACAGGATGACTGGGTTTCCCCCTGGCCCTTTGTCAGTTCCTCCTGGTGCGCTCATAGGTAAGGAGGGACTCCTGAATTACATGTTGTATTTTGAAGGTCTGAAGTGAAAGATGGGAACTGTGAAAGAAGGTTCTAAGATTAGAAGGCCCCTCATAATATATGATACACAATTTATATTACCTGCCATAGTAGAACTATCAAAAATCCATCACCACCAAGTCGATTCCTACTCAATAGTGACCCTATAGGACAGGGTAGAACTGCCCCATACAGTTTCCAAGGAGTGGCTGGTGGATTTGAACTGCCAGCCTTTTGGTTAGCAGCCGAACTCTTAACTACTGTGCCACCAGGGCTCCCATAGTAGAACACTACCCTTAAAAACAACTCTCCTGCACTCCATGTGCATACTCATTCAGGATTTATATCTAAATTTTAGGTCACATTCATATTTAAAAATAAAAAGAACGTATTTCTACATTTTTAGCCTCTGAAACTTCCTAAGAGTAGTGCCTTCATTATATTCTGTACCAGCAGAATTAATATTTATTAATGCTAATATAATGTTAACATAAATATTATATATCCTCATTTCTTTTTTGAAAATGAAATGTATTAATCACAGGGCAAATTCTGAAAATGCTAAAGATAAAGGCACACACACACACACATATACGTAAATGGTGAAATTTGTTTCCTTTCCACATGCTGTGTTACATGCTTCAGTTCATCTGGTTAAGAGAAAACTATGAGTCATTTTGGTTTATCAGAAGAACAGTTGCTAAACTAGAGTTTTCTAAGAGTTTTAATTTTTTCAATTTGATCTATAACCAAACCACAAAACACCCAGAATGAAGATTATAGATCGTTTATCTTCTTAGATCTACTTTTGCAGTAACTTGTTTTTAATATATGAGCTTGGAAATAAGTTGCCTATAGAGATAACAGGTTCTTCAACTTTCCCCAGTTGGCTGTTAAATTGTTCAGCTGTATAAAACTCTGCTTTAATGAAAATCACCTAAAACACAAATTACATCTCAAGTTCCAGCTATACCACACATTACGAATCTTTCTTTCCACCTGAAGGAAATACTCAATTTTAAATGTCACAGATGAAAGAATTAGTAGTGTTTCGAATATTTTTACAGAGAAAAACAACTCACCTATTTGAAGAGTATCTCCTTGCAAGTGACTCTGTTAGGAACAATCCCATAAATCTACATTTTTTTTTTCTTTCAGCTCTTCATTATTTCATCAAAGACAAAAACAGCCTCAGGTGAAAGGTGGAAGTAAAAAACCCTTCCATCCACCCAAGGGGGGAGGACAGGGCCCTGCTCAAAGTCCCAGAGCCTCATCACATGCCCCACCAGCCGCTCCCTATTGTTTTTTAGCCACAGTGATCTCCAACACCTTTTATTTAGCGCCGACGCACTTTTAATGGTTTGACGGCACACGGAACACATCACGTGCCAAGCCAACACCTTAAGAGGGTGGGGAAGCTTTTCAACCAGGAAGAGCTGCTGAAAATATTTAGTGGTTAGCTCAATTGCACGTAAGCATAGCCTTGCTTGTTTTTCACAAAACAATTCAATAACATAATGAGTCAAGACGAACTGATGTATACAGTTCTAAACTGGGAACCATCTGGAGCAATGCCTCCACTGCTCTAAAACTTCCCCTCTCGCCTTAGGTTTAAATTCTGGTCAACCACTTTGGAACAGCTGCCCTCAATGTTTCTGGTGACAGTAATACATTTTTTCTCTCTGTTTCAGAATTTGATTCTTCTCTACTCTCTTCGTTCATTTCATATTTACTCTTCATTTCTCCTTCTAACCACGGATACAAACCTCTCCCTCCCAATTCCCCAGAGAGGGAGGAGTTTTCATTTAAATACATCTCCACAGCCAGGGCATAGACCAGGCTCTTGGTGCGGCAAAGAAACTGTTAATAACTATTTCCCAACATTTAACCCTCTGTTCACCAAGTGCACCACCTGGGACCTCTGCAGTTGTTTAGAAGTTGGGTTTCAGCTAAGTTTCACAATTTCATAAGGACTTTGTCACTATGCAAGCTAAGTTCTGATTCTTTTGTTCCTATCAGAAATTAAATTCTAAGAATATTAAACATTCTCAACACAAAACAGGCTGCTTGCCTCTGATATCAGATAACTAATGAGCTGTCACATGATATGATTGAGCTCACCCTTTCTGTCCCAGTGTTGGAAGCTTTAAAGGCTCCTTTCTGGATTTTCTGAATGAGAACAGGGAAGCAAACGATGATCCAAAGCTCAGCCGAGGAGGAAAGGACGTTGGGTTTTTTTGATTAGGTAGATTTTTTGATCTTGATATTTGTAATTCCACAGAATCTAAAAGAAAAATTGTAAACATTGTGCATCACTGAAATATTTCTAGGTAAATACATCTCAGAGAACTAAGCCTTCACCTTTGCTCCCCTCATCTATCCAGTCTGGAAGCTGAACAGGCATGCCCACATGAAGACCTCAGGAACTAAAGAGAGTCAAAGTTACCTCTCAAGAGTCCTTGTGCTGTGATCGTTCTTCTGAGCTAGAGAAAATCCTCCCAAATGGTAGTGAGCCTTTCAGTATGCACTGAGGACCACAGTTCTGTAGAAAGTCCCTCCCTTCCTCATACCAGCTGCATGAATCTTTCTCAACATGTCTTCTCCGTGCCTATCCAAAACTCACGTTGCTCTTAACCATCTTGTCCTTCAGAAATTTTTATTTTAATACTTTAAAACCATGGTGATAGGTACTATGTAACTTTTTATACTAAAGAAAGTAAAGGAAAAAGAAATTAAACCATTTACAGTGTTCCTTATTCCCTTCCAAAATGTATCTCTGTGTATCTATTTCCTACACATGTGGTTTATATATGTGTACTTAGCCCTAGTGGCACAACAGTTAAGCACTTGGCTGCTAACTGAAAGGTGGGCGGTTCAAAGCAACCCAGGGGCTCCACTGTCGAAACACCTGGCGATCTGCTTCCACAAAGATTACCGTCAAGAAAACCCTATGGGGCAGTTCTACTCTGTCACAGGGGGTCACTATGAGTCAGAAT